GATCTCTAAGGTTCAGGACATTTATCCTGATTGGCTGACATTTGTCTAGGGATGTCCTGGTGAATGTGTGCTGGCGGGTGATCCTATCTACAATGGTTGGAACGTGAAGAATTTCCTTCTGATGGTCTGCTCCTGGGTGATGCCTGGGAAATCTCAGTTTATGGTCTTTCTTGGAACCAGGTATTGCCTTAGGGTAAATTACTGAGACTCTGGCCTCAGTTGAGCAAGTCCTGACTGGGTCCTACAGAGTTCAAGGCCAGCTTGGGCTCAGCAGTTAAAGAGTGTGTAGTGCCTAGCACCAGCACACTCATTACTGCAACTTATAACCCCTTGTAACTATGGTTCCATGGGGACCAAAGGAATCTGGCCTCCTCCTGACTATGTACATACCCACATATGTGTGTACACATAATTTAAAATAAAATAAATCTTTAAAAAGTTGAATAGGAGACTAAAGAGATAGCAGCTCAATGTTTAAGAGCATTTGCTGCTCTTCCAGAGGACCCAAATTTGATTCTCAGTCACCAAATCGGTCTATGAGTTCTGCTCCAGGGCACTCAGCACCTCTGACCTCTGTACCCACTTGCACTCATGTGCGCATACCGACATGCAGACAGACATACCTACACATAACTAAAAATAATACAATTTGCACTTCTGTATTTTATATGTGTAAGTAAGTGTTTTGCCTGTGTGTATGTAGATCTAGGCAGCATGTAAAGCAGTGCCTGCAGAGTGCAGAGGACAGCATCAGATGTGGGTGCTGGGAATGAAACCAGGGTCCTCTTAACAGTGCTCTTAACCACTGAACCATTTCTCGAGCCACAGATTTTAGGTTAGAAGTTAAATGTGATAGGCAATGGTGGCATAGGCAGCTAGATCTCTGTAAGTTAGATGGCACCCTGATCAACAGAGTGAACTCCAGAACAGCCAGGGCTACACACAGAAACCCTGTCTCAAACCGCCCCTCCAGCCAAAAAATGTTAAATAAAAATTGTATTTATGGTATATAAGATGATACTTTGAAATATATGGTGTTTGTATATCTACACACTGCAAAATGGCTAGCTCAAGCTAATCAACTTATTATTACCTTACATATTAATTTATAATAAGAACACTTAAAATGCACTCTGAGAAATTAATGTCCAGTAGATCAAACATAGACTGATTAAGAAAAAGCTGGGCAGGATTCGTGAAAGTGGGAGGCGCTCCCAGTGACTTTGAGCTGTAAGTACATCCATCAAAACTGACTCTAGTCACCATGTTATAACACAGATCTGTTGACTTTACTTTCATCTGACATGGGACTAGGGAAGTTATTTTTTCCTTTGCAAAATTTAATTCATCAGGGTAAAGGGGGAAGCTAAGGGAGATGAAGCAGAACTTCCTTCCAGGCCTAGAACAAACAACAGATGACTCTATGGCCCATTCCACCATCTCTGCCTGCAGCAGCCTGCTGGAAAGCCCCTGCAAGTCCATTTAACTACCTTTCTTGGTCTCCAAAGATGTCAACAAAAACAATTCTACTTTCTTCTGAGCCCTCATTAACCTAGGCAATCTGCTTCCACCAAGATCCAGCCTGAACAGGAGAAATGGGCTTGGGAAGTTCAAGAAAACCCAGCCAGGCTGTTTGGTTTATATCTAGGGCTGGAGAGGATAAGAGGGCTTGCCACTCTTAGAGAGGACCTGAGTTCAGGTCTCGGTTCCCACATGGGGAAGGGGAGGTTCACAACCACCTGTAACTCCAGGTGATTGGACATCTACATACACACACAATTAAAAAATAAATCTTGAGTGACTGGAGACATGGATCAGAGGTTAAGAGCACTGGAGGCAGCCAGGCAGCAGTGGCACAAGTCTTTAATCTCAGCATTAGGGAGGCAGAGTCAGGCAGATTTCTGTAAGTTCAAGACCAGCCTGGGGGGCTGGAGAGATGGCTCAGAGGTTAAGAGCATTGCCTGCTCTTCCAAAGGTACTGAGTTCAATTCCCGGCAACCACATGGTGGCTCACAACCATCTGTAATGGGGTCTCCTCTTCTGGCGTGCAGGCATACACACAGACAGAATATTGTATACATAATAAATAAATTAATTAAATAAATAAATATTAAAAAAAAAGACCAGCGTGGCCTACAATTGAATTCCAAGACAGCCAAAGCTATTACACAGAGAAACCCTGTCTCAAAACAAACAAACAAACAAACAAAAAAGGCCAATGTTTGGTTCATATGTCAATATCTTCCCTTCCTTCCTTTCTTTTTATTTTTTATTTTTTTTAAAGATTTTATTTATTACGTATACAATACAGTGTGCTGCCTCCATGTATGTCTGTAGGCCAGAAGAGGGCACCAGATCTCATTGTAGATGGTTGTGAGCCACCATGTGGTTGCTGGGAATTGAACTCAGGACCCCAAGAAGAACAGTCAGCATCCTTAACCTCTGAGCCATCTCTCCAGCCCCCCTTCCTTTCTTTTTAAAAACTATTTATTTTTATGTGCATTGGTGTTTTATCTGTGTGAGGGTGTTGGGTCCCCTGGAACTGGAGTTACACACAATTGTGAGCTGCTATGTGGGTGCTCTTAACCATTGAGCCATCTCTACAGCATCTCTTCTTTCTTTCATTTGCTTGAGACAAGGTCTCACTATATAGCCCTTGCTGTCCTGGAACTCTGTATGTAGACCAGGCTAGCCTGGAACTCAGAGATGCCCCTGCCTCTGCTTCCTGAGTGTTGGGACTAAAGGTGTTGCCACCAGGTTGGAGTACAGAGTAATCTGAGAGAAGTTAACTTGCCCTCTCTGGGTTGCCGAGAGCCAATATATATATATATACACACAGACACACACAGACACACACAGACACACACAGACACACACA